GCCCCAGCCCCCGCCTGTCTCACCTGATGACCGTGGGCACACACTCAATACTGGCCATACTCGAGGTGAAGGGGGACACCACCGAGGCCTCGGCCTGGGACAGTGAGATGCCCACGTCGGCCGCCTTCAGGGCCCCGCAATCGTTGGCGCCGTCCCCGCACATGCCCACGCAGTACCTGGTGAGGGGTGGGCACGGCCTGTGGGTGAGGGCGAACCCCGGTGCTCACATGGTGCCCAGGGAAGAGGTGCCATTATTTCTGGTAGGACAGAGGGACAGACAGACCTGGGACAGCCTGCCTGGGAGCTTTTTTTGGATCCTGGGGATTGAACCCAGAGCCTTTGTACTGAGCTACGTCCCCAGTACTTTCGTTATTTTTTATTATTTCGGTCAGGATTTCACTAAATTGATGTGATAAACTGCCCAGACAGGGCTCAAGCTTGCAATCCTCCCATCCCTGCCTCCTGAGTGCTGGCATCTGCCGCCACCCCTGGTCTTATGTTCTGAGACAGGGTTTTGCTAAATTGACAAATAGCCCAAACTGGGCTTGATTTGCAATCCTGCCTCAGCCTCCCAGGGTGCTGGGATCATAGGAGTGCACTACCACACCCAGCTCTGGACAAGTCTTCAGGGTGATGCTCCCTGCAGGCCTCCCAGCACTCACTGAAGCCTTTGCAGCTCACACACCAGCTCTGTCTTCTGCTCAGGGGCCATGCGGGCGAAGATGGTGGCCTGCACCAGGACCTGGGGGCACAGGGAGGGGCAGGGCTGAGGCCAGTGCAGAGCACGGGAGGTCAGGGGTAAGTGTCCCGGCTCAGGCTGCCATACCTTGGGCAGCAGCTTGGGGAAGTGCTTCATCAGGACATCGAAGGTGGATCCACTGAGGGCCAGGTGGCTGGACGGGGGCTCTGGCTCCACGGTGCGGCTCTCAGCCGGGTCAAGGTCCTGGGAGCCCAGGAAGCTCGGCTTAGCATCCCTGCCCACCCTGCAGAGCTGGGGGGCCCAGCTCAGGTGGCTCAGGGCTGGCCTCACCTTGGCCCCGTTCACAGAGGTGGGGCATTCCGCGGGCAGGAACTTGAGGGAGGCAGGTCGGCCCCGCTCAGGGTGGGTGGCATGGACGATGACCAGGCGCTCCCGGGGGGCCACCATGCCGCAGCCCCGGGCCACGGTGACGGCCGTCTGCAGGTTGTCCCCTGGAGATGTAGGGCAGTCAGGAATCCTCCTTAGCCTGCCCCTCGCAGGGGAGTCTGAGTCCAGTCTGCCACCACCAGCTGAGTGGCCCCGCAGGTGAGCCTCACGTTGGGACCCCCGTTTCCTCAGGGGCAAAACACAGCCCTGAAGGGTCTGGACTGGAGCTGCGGATACTGTGCCAGTGCGTGTGCGCGTGCAGGAGGACACAGTGCTCTCAGCTCCCCGCCCTTTCACACCGCCAGGATCTTCCTGGGCCGCGAGACTGTCATCCCTTGGAGGTTGCCATCATCAACCCCCTTTCTCAGAAGTGGAAACAGAATCTAGGAAAGTCTCACCCAGCCGGTGAGAGAGCAGCCAGGCGGAACCACGCCCGGCCTCTTAGGAAGTCACCCCTCCGCTGAGCCTGTTTCCACACAGGTCTTAGGTGACAAGCACATCTGAGGTTCACCAGTGTGGAGACACGTGAGCTGACTCAGGAGGGGCCGCTGAAGGTCCCCTTCCTTCTGCCCAGGACAGGGCAGCTCCCACCCTCCTGACCCAGGTCCTGCGGGCCACGGCACCTGTCACCATAACGGTGCGGATGCGAGTCCTCCGCAGAGCCTGGATCACCCGAGTCGTCTGTGGCTTCAGCAGGTTCCTCAGGACCAGCAGCCCCAGGAAGCTCAGGTCCTGCTCCACGGTGTCCCTGGACGGTGGAAGACTTGAGTCAGAGGCCACGCGGTGGTCACGGCCCTGCTCCCAGGGCTCAGCCTGCGGACGCCCCCTCGGCGGCCCCACCTCGACAGCTGCCTCGCAGCCTCCAGGCTGGGGCCGATGGGCAGCGGCTTGCAGGCCAGAGCCACCACACGGTAGCCGGCAGCCGTGTAGCTCTGCAGCGTCCGGGAGAAGTCGGCGGGCACTGCGAGAGGGGCAGCGTCACTGGACGGCGTGGTGCGGGCAGAGGCCGGAACGACCGCCACGCACACACACTGCCCGCAAGCAGGCTCACCTGTGTCGGGGCGGCAGAGGCTGGCCACCAGCTCCGGGGAGCCCTTGACATAGGCCTCGGGCTGAGCGGCCCCCGGCCACGCCACCACCACACCCATGCGCTGGAGGGTGGAGGAAAAGGGGAAGCGGCGGAGGACGCCGAGGGGCGCCGGGGGCTCCTGCGGGGCGGGAGGAGCTGAGGCCGGCTGTGGAGCCCACCCCGCATCCCCAGCCCGCAGAAGCCCCGCGGCTCACCGTTCCTTGTGTCTGGGGCCCCCAAGGCGGGGGTCTCATCGCTGCCAAGATGGGGGTCCCGAGTGCTGTGTCTGCAGCTGGCTGCTCTTCCAGGACCTGGGAGGCAGGTAGAGAAGGCTGGAAGCTGGAGGGCCTTGGGCCGGGAGGGAGGCAGCAGGAGACCCACGTTCCTGGAGTTACAATGCACACACCAACAGCCTCCTTACCCAGCCAGTAGACTCCACCATCTTGAGGTCCATGGGGTCCCCCACCGGGGTGTCCTGCAGCCAGCTGAGGGCATGGCAGGTGGCCAGTGCTCGGAGCAGGGGCCCCATGGGCAGGAAGCAGGGCTCTGGGACCAGCGGGAGAAACGCCTGTCCCTCCAGGGGCACAACCCCCATCACATCCAAGCCGTCCTCGGTGAGGGTGCCAGTCTGCAGAGGGACAGAGGGGTCCTGGGATGAGCTGTGCCCTCTCTCTGTGGGTACCTGGAGCCCAGGAGCTAGGAGAAGCCCTTTCTTGACTCAGGACCTTTGCAAATACAGATCCTACTGCCAGGGTGACCCCCACCCAGTTTCTACGCCTGGCATTTCCTCTAGAAACTTGTCTTCCTTCAGTCCGCAGCCCTGGGTATGTGGTCCCTGTTTTGGGTCCCTCTCCACGGTCAGCACACAATCTAGTCACCGAACGATGCATAAACGAGTGCTCGCCTCTCCTGGGGGTTCCACCTGTCCCACTACCCAGCTGGGTCTTCGCCAGCCCGGGAGCTGCGTGACTAGTCTCGTCCCTCTTAGTCCATGCCCTTGACCGCCCCTTGGCTTGCGCTGCCCCCACCGCTCACAGTGGGCCAGGTCACCCAGGTGCTGCTGCGGGACCTGCCGACGGGAGCCTCAGACGCCCTCTCTCAGGGGTTGTGTCCCCTGGTCACCACTCGAACCCACTGCCCTGCATCTCTCCTGCGGGCTCACTGCCTGCTTCTGTGGGGACACACAGGGACATGGCCCTGTGCCCACGGAGCCCACTATCCCCTGGGACACAGCCCACGTCAAGCAAAGGGAGCCCCAACAGTAACTGGCTGTGGAAGGTGCGGGCGGGTGTGACAGTTAGTGGGCGACGGCCTCGGAGGGGACGTCTGTGCGGATTAAACACAGCCCAGGTGCACAGTAGGCCCTCACCGGGTCTGGAACGGATGAAAGAGTGCAGATACCTCTGCCAGACCCTGAGCCGTGAGGTGGGAGTGGGACACAGGACCCAGTGATGGCGCTGCCCGCACCGGCCAGCCCGCTGGGGGCCCCACCTTGTCGAAGCACACGAGCCTCAGCTTGCCGCCCAGGTTGATGCGCAGCGGGTGGATGCAGAAGATGCCCTGTGCCCGCAGGCGGCTCTGGGCATAGAGGGTGCACACGGTCATGGCGGCTGGCAAGGCGGGCGGCACCACCACGGTCACCAGGTCCAGAGCCCGGATCACAATCTCGTTCACGGGCACCTGGCAGGAGGCGCTCGCTGTGAGCACTGAGGCCTCCTGGGGCCCCCCGGGCGGGCCGGTGGCTCCCCGAGTCCCTGCAGCTCACCTGGTTGCGGTGGAGGACGAAGATGCTGTACATGGTGCCGAGTAGGGCTGGGGAGACAGTGAGGGGTGAGTGGACTCCGGTCTCGGGCTGTGGGCCCTGGTCGAGTGGGGGACAGGGGCTCACTCACCCAGGACAGAGAGGGCGGCCACAAACTTCATGCTGTGCTTATAAAACTTAAAGCTGATGGGCCGGGGATGCAGGATGGAGCTCACCAGGGCCCCTTTGGCTGTGCAGAACCCTGAAAGGAAACAGGAGACCAAGGCAGGGGAAGCCCTGTGAGGATGGGTGTCCTATTCCCCCACAGCGCGTCACTGCTGCGCAGCCTGGGGTCCCCGCAGACAGTGGTCCATGGGCCTCGCCCAGCCTTTGTGGGGTCTTACACCATGGCGTCAGTGGGCAGAATCTGAAAGTGGGGCCCTTTTCTTATGATCCGGGTTCAGCCCGGCCGCTCCTGCGTGCCCCACCCCTGGCCCCTGCCAGCCTCTGTGGAAGTCAGAATGCTTGGCCGCCCTACCCAGCCCAACTCTTTCCGTCAACAGGAGGACACTGAGGTCCCCAGCAGGGCAGAGGTGGGTGTGGGGTTGAGGGCTCTGGGTCCTGCCCTGCCCTGTGACACCTCCCCTATCAGAGCCGAGTCCAGCATTCTCCCCCACCTCCTCATACGCACCTGTCTGGGTCACCACTGCCAGGACATGGGGTCCTCCGTAGGCCCGGGCCTGCAGGACAAGGGTCCCACAGAAGAGTGTGTGCCGCCGATGACTCTCCGGGCAGTACGGTCCCGGCCCCTCCGGGAGGGCTGTCTTCACCACTGGGACGCTCTCCCCTGGGAGGGACATGGTGTAAGGCCCCTTCCTCTCAGTGAAACCAGGAGTTACGCAAAGGACCAGCCCATCGGCTCTGTCTCACTTAACTCTGTAACCAGGTCTGAACGAGAAACCACAGCCCCATTTTACAGGCGGGGAACTGAGTGTCAGGAGGGCAGAAGAAATAAAGACCCAGAGGCCGTGGGGTGTGGCAGCCAGTGACCGGAACCGGCTTGGGGATCAGACGTATCAAGGGGCAGGGTTTCGGGAGCCTTTCTCCTCCCATTACTTTTATATTAGAACCAGCGAGGATATTCACACAGGGACGTGTGACAACCTCTCTACCGCCCTGGACGGCGGCCTGGCAGAGCAGCGGTCCTGTATAAAAGGGGGTCACGGTCTGCCAGCCACGTGGGTGAGGCCCAGGATGTGGGCTGCTCAGAGGGCACAGCACAGCAGCGCAGCCCCACACGTAAAACCGGAAGTGTATTCACGTTTGCGCACACGTCATACACAAGCACAGGAACGGAGCTGTGGGTCAGGGCCGTGGACCGATGCCCGCCCACTCCGGGCGCCCCTTCTCCCAGTGGTCGGGGTCACTGGGTCGGGAAGGCTGGTGCTGCCACAGATGACGTCCACACGCTGGTGCCTCTGAGTCCTCCTCACACCCTACCCATGGGTGACTGAGCCCCATTTTGCAGGATGGGAAATTGAGCCACAGACAGTTAAATGACACAGTCCAAGGGTGTGGCTGTTTGAAAGGAAAGGGAAATAGCAGGGGGTGGGCGGAGTGGCGGGACTCACCTGTGAGACAGCTCTCGTTGACCACGCACTCTCCGGCCACCAGGGCAGCGTCGCAGGGCATCAGCCCGCCCTCCGGGGGCAGCACCAGGCAGTCTCCGGGCACCAGCTCGCTGGAGTCCAC